GCCTGCAATTATAGACCGATTTCATTACTGTCAAACTTCAACAGGATTTTTGAATACATTATGTACAACAGAATGAACGTTTTCATACACCAACTATTATCTTCATCCCAATATGATTTTCGCCAAGCACATTCAACTGAACATGCTATACTTGACATGGTGGAATCCATCTGTACCAATATGGATAAAAGACTTTTTCTTGTGGGGTGTTCATTGACCTTAAGAAAGCTTTTGACACGGTGGACCATAAAATATTACTTGATAAACTTTATTATTACGGCTTTCGAGGAATTGTCAATCGGTGGTTTTCCTCATATTTAACAAATCATACTCAAACAACTGAGATTAACTCTTATACTTGGGATAAAGAAGTAGTTAGCTGTGGTGTACCCCAGGGGTCCGTTTTAGGGCTGCTCCTCTTTTTGCTATATATCAATGATATTCAACATTGCTCCAGGAAACTTGAATTTTTTCTTTTTGCAGTTAATACTAATGTCCCTTACTCTCACGAAAATTTCAAGACATTGGAATTAATTGTAAATGTTGAATTGAACAACCTATTCAATTGGCTAACCGCAAATAAACTTACACTAAACAGAAAGAAATCAAACTTTGTTATTTTCCACCCATACCAAAAAAGACTTAATTACCTGCCACAAGTTGATATCTTTGACAATGAAGAAAATAAGAATGTTACACTTGAACATAAGAATTGCATTAAAGATCTTGGGTTATTAATTGATGAAAATCTAAGTTTAAAAAACCATATCTATACCCTTAAAACAAAAATAAGTAAAACTGTCAGTCTAATTGCAAAGTTAGGACATATTATTCCTAATCGAACTCTTCCTGATATTTATACGTCCTCCATTGTTCCCCATATAATGTATGGAATAACTTCTTGGGAACTGCATCTAAGACCTTGTTAAATAAAATCTTGTCCTTCAAAAACGTGTACTCCATCTTATTCAATTTGCTCCGGTAAGAGAGCATGCAATACCCCTTTTCTTGAAAGCAAGGCTTCTACCACTAGAATTCCAATATTATGAGAAAAAAATGCTAATTTAAAGTACGACATCAATACTAGCTCCGCACCAAAATCTGGAATGGAATATCAACTAGTCTCAAAAACTCATCCATGAACTCTTTTAAAAAATCCATTGGAGCAAAATTAATTGAAATTCTAGAAACTGAAAACTCCTATGTCACCATAGATACTCTAATTAATAGGATGAAAGATTAATTACTACTGTAAATATGTTTAGTCTGTAGTTTTCCTCTTTACATATTATCCTAACACCTTGATATTTGTAAGCACGAACACAATGTTAACATGTTGTAATTGTATGTGAATATTTATTGTATAAAATTGTGTAAAACTATTTGTCAACTGTCTGGCTTGCT